ACAAAGAGATAATCGCTCATTCTGCGTTTACGCCACAGGGTTGCGCGATGCAGTTTGAAGTCGTCGTTTAACACGACGAAATATAAATTTTAATTATTTTCAGAATTAAATCTCCGTTGCGCGAATTGAGCGCAATTCGTTGCGCATAATGTCGGATTTCATTTGGAATATTACATCATAATGTAACTATGTCATTCTAAATTATACGACAATTTTTAAAAATATGTACATATGTATCGTTAGCACGTATATTCGCTACAAATATATATTTAGCAAATTCTAAATTTATTATGATTATTGTAAAATGTAGCTAACATTTGCGCATTTTTTTTCACGTTTTTCTTTGAAACGCAGAAATATTTCGCAAAAAGTTTATCGCGATCGTCTCGTGGAATCTCTCTTCTCCGAACGTTCACTGAATTTGCGGCACGACGTGAATAAGCGTTATCGCGCACGTTATCTTCGCACCTGACGGATAACCGGTACTTTGTACGAACGAACCACCGTCAATAAATTTCTAAACGTCGTAGCGGCCCCCGCGGCACGAGAATGAGAAATAACGCTTCACGATTAATCGACGCAAGTCCGGTCGCTCGCGCTAATCTGCGCGCTTCGCGTACCCGGTCTCGGAAACTTAATTGAAAACACATAACGCCTAACGAGTTCCGCGACGCGGGTGGCATGTCCACCCACCTTCCATCCGTGCACGCGCATGTGAGCGCACGCATATATTTCCGCGCGTCTAATGCGCCCACCCGCTCAATTATATAACATGCGATAATCGACGTTATCCGCCAGAATGAATGGCGTTTTTATTTGCAATTGATAAAGCCAAGATGAAAAATAAAGCCGTCTTTTATTTTAATTTTCATATAATAATTTTACTATTTTATATTTACCAATTTTTATATAATAATAATTAGTATTATATAATAATTTTTTTATGATATTGTAATTATTTGTATTATTGCTATTTTATTATCTTTCCAATACATATTTTTTTCTAAATTCTATTATATTTGACTATATTTTTATGTTAATGTTGATGAAAGAATGCGCGAGTTTATAGATAGGAATTATGATTTGAGATTTATAGCACGTGATTCGATAATCACGGAACGAAATGTGCATCGCGTCGTTGCGAACGCGAGATCCTACAACGAGTGACTACCTTTGACTTCGGGTCATGAGATAGGCGCTTTATCCTCGACGCCATGCGCCGTGGCTATCTCGAGATCGATTCTCCCGAGTCGATTCAAGCACTCTCCCTTTTTCTTGGCGGATTAGCGGAGGCCCCTCTTTTATCCGCCACCGGACACGCGAAGCGCCATAACCTCCCACTTATCTCTCTCAATCATCCCTCTGGATTCGCGCGCCCGGCGTCTTTAGCGGCAAGGCATTAATGTCGGGCGATTATCCCTCAATTTGGTGGATTCTAAAAAATCCACGGCGCGCACGCTCTCTGCCCATAAATCGGCGGATTAACCCTGGCGTTTAACATTATCAATTACCCCCTGACGTTCCCCTTGGCGCGCAAAAGCGTTGGATGTACGTGTGCGCGAGAAAAAAAACGATGGAATCGTGCGCGGATGAGGGTGAGCGGAGGATAGACGAAGATGAAATGAAAAGGCGAAACATGCTAAAACCGAGTATTATTATCGTTAATACTTAATATTAACTCTATTGCTAGCAAACGCCTAAAGAGGGATGATTTTTATCGTTGGTATGCTAATCAAGCAATGGCCGAAGGTGCTTTCTACAAATTTAAAATATTTTTTTCAAAGATTCTTAATAATTAATAATTGATAATTGATATCAATAGTAATATATTATAGTTGCAGAGAAAAAATTATTAAAAAATAAAATATTCTAGTCTAAGACACAATTAGGGAAGAACGATTTTTTCTTTCCAATACACATATGGCAATAAACATTAAAATTGAATAATATTATTGTTACAATCAAGGGACAACTAGAATTTAATAAGTATACATTTAATTAAAATTAATTATTAAATTAATAATTGAACTTAAAAAATTTTGTTCTAATTTTACTCTCTTTATAAATAGTATTATACAATATTAACATTAAGAGAAGAAATTATAAATTATTAAATTAATTTTCATTTAGACTACGCTATTTTAATCGTTGATTTAATTTCTTACAGGAAATTTATCCCATTTTAGCGATAATTAAATTTGCGTTATTCTGATTTTCAAATGATATACGAATCATACGCGCATCGATATATTTTTACGTTAAGGGATAACTGTGTTGAAAAGAGGAGGTGAAAAAGAAAATGAAAAAGAAAAGAAAAGAAGCAAGGGTGAAACATGAAATAACGACGAAGTTCTGTCAGATCGTTTCTGCTTGTGACGACTGCGTGCCCCATTAGATAGCGAAGATCATAGGTCTCGGCTAAAACTATGAGAAGAGTTAATGGCTCTAACGAGACGTTCGAAACGAGATCTCGGGTAGAGGGAGAAGGGGGAGGGGGGAAGTGTCCGAAGCAGTGGTTAATTAAGCGAGGCCGCCTCGGTGTACCCGGCGCACGGAAATTGCGGTTAATAATACCGCTGTTACTACGTCGTGGTTCGACCGACTGAATTCATAATGATTCCTCGATTCGATTTCGAACATGCTCATGAGATTTCTGTCATGATAAGAATAAATAATTAATGAGAAATCGGCCATATATGTAGTGAGAAGTGAGTATTTTGATCATTTTTCTCATATAATGTACTGTAAATTAATAACGCGATTAATTTTCATACATTTTTTTAAATATTCGCGAAATTGGGACTGGTTAATTTCTCAGGGGTTCAAATTGGGGTTGATTCGTCTATATTTCAGAAAAATTTCGTTTTGAGTTTTTACGATTTCTTGCGAATAAGTGTGTGTAAAAATTTATATTTCATCCACGAACAATCGTAAATCAAAATTGTAATTGAAGGAAAATAAATTGAAATAATATATTATATAAAAGAGATAATAATATATTATTTCTTGAACATTATATATGTTAATATTCAAATATGAATTTGAAGTATGAATATTATATCCGCCTTCTTCACTACGAATTTCTCCTTGAAATTGATTATTAATCTTATTACACGGATGCACGACATATATTACTTAATTTAAGGTAACTTCGGTTGTCAAGATGCAACGAGACACGTAATATATAAGAGCGAAACAGCAACGGTACGCGTTTCAACTCTGTTTCAGATATCTGTTCAGGTTCGTGAAGACGAGGCATTAAATTTCATATCGCGTCAGTTTAAGTGATCGTTCCGCACGAACGTTTCGCTTAACTTACGACCATGCGCCACGTGTTATCGCATTACATCGTTGAGATTAATTCCAATCAATTTAGACATTAACATAGATTTTCATTAAAAAAGAAGACACATTTTTGTCCATACAATAGCACTATAATTCATTAATTCGTTAATACATTAACTATTAAATATTTTATTTAATCTTTTTTTCTCTGAAAATGGAAAAACACATTTTGACAAGTGTTATTTGAAGCCTTATAATGATGAATAAGTAGCATTAATAAATTCAAGTATTTAAATTAAAAATAGATATACAATTTAAACGTATTCCAAGAAAAAATGATATATTTCCTCTATATTGTTAAAAATATAATTTTCAATTTTATAGGTACTGATTTAAATTAGAAATTCAAACATGATGATTCTGCATAATTAAAATCACGATTCTAATAAGGTATTTATCAACAAACAGGCTATCCTCGCGTAACAAGGTAAGCTTGCAAATTATGGTTTTACGTCGATTACATGGGACGACGGCAACTTCTATAATCAAATGAAAGACGTGCACGGACAAAATATTATCAGCAGGTACTATCGACAATGATATCGCGAAGCCGCCGCATCTTTCTGTTCCATCTTGCGAATATATTGGCTCCGCCGCTAACACGACTGTTAATTAGTAACAGCAATGTCACGGACATTTAATACGCTTGTCCTCCGCTCTCACAAATTGCAGAAAGTGCGGTGAGATGCAGCGGTCAACGATGTCAACAACGTCAAAACTCTCTAGATAGCGAGGTAAATCGCAATTTTCCACGTAATACGGTAATAAACTGTGGCTACCAATTTTTCAAGAATGTAGCAATCTATGCAGAAATGTTTCACGGTTTAAATACCGCAATAATTTGCGAAATTCCGGGGACATCGGAAACGAATTTATCGTGTCCGGGCGCGTAATCTAACGATAAGGCAAGTATCTTAAACAAGTCGATCTCTCGTCCCGCAAAACGAAATCATAAAGCGATTTATAACACGCCATCGTAGAGAATTACGTCTCGGGAAGGATGCGAGCGCAAGAAACGTTTGCATTTCTTCACTCGGTTGATTTATCTGCGAGAGGTTGCGCGAGCTCCATCGTGCTCGTCTGACATCGACCTTCGATCCTCGATCGCTGATGGATCGAGGACACGGTACCCTGTGACCGCCATGGCACGTTCGCGCAAAGTGGCAAACGCATATCTCATACACAAGAAATTATATGTTATACTTCAATTGTTCGCTCCCATTTTTTTGTGTTAAATTTCATAATCGGTCTTTCTGATAATAGCAATTACATAATATATTCTTCACAAGGTGTGACAGATACCACGTAATCATATAAATACCGTAATCAGCGGCAGTACCGGTTCTCGGAAATAAGTTTCCAATCTGCGAAGACAGTTCTCTCTCTTCATTAAACAGGAATATCCTTTCGTACATCCAGCCTCTTAGAAAATGAACATTAATTAACATTGTGTTACGCAATAAATTATGTCTTAAATGATTTTTTATAGGATTCTACTTGAATTAATGGCGCATATTGCTATATGAATTTCTGCAGTATAAACCTTTAAATAATTTATTTATAAATTTTGAGATAATATTTAATTTGAATTGAAATAATTGATACAAATAATAAGGATTTTCTTATAACAGGCATCTCTCTTATTCCTTTTACAGCGTCACCATCCTTGCCATCGTTGAGCGAAACAGCGTGGGACAGAGATCGCGATCGAGATCGAAGCCGGGAAAGAAACCGGGAGCGGGAGAGGGTGCGAGAGAGGAGCGGCGAGAACGAGAGGGAATGTCAACAGGAACGAGAGCCCGCGATCAGGGAGAGAGAGGCGCGAGATCGGGAAAGGGAGCAGTGCGATCGCGATAGGGACAGGCAGAGGGACAGGGAAAGGGATCGGGACGTATCGGTCTGCGTGATGGAGCCACCCGATTCCGTCTTCCCGATCTCCCCTTCCGCCGCCCTTCTCGCGTTGCAGAGGATAAAGGCTTCTTAGTAAGTATTATTATTCACCTGTTGCATCCTACCTAGGCACAAGCGCGTATTTTACGTTGCGTAAGGGCTGCGAGAAGACGCTATTGCAGCAGGATAGCAAAGTTTATGTATCTGAGACGGGCATGATAAAAATTAAATGATTAATCGTAAAGCGAATTTACTTCGTGAATAGGCAATGCGATAATAATTTAATGTCCTGCCGTTCGTTAATTATAATCGATAATTACTTCTCGCATATAGATATTAATAGTCACTTGATGAAGTGATCATTATATCAATCTTGCTTTTTAATACACAAAAAAATAAGATGAGGAAATTGCTCCACGTTTATAAAAATAGTTTGAAACAAAATTTTGGGGAAATCATACAACATATTAACTCGTTTTTAAATTAGGTTCTTCAAACTTCAGCCTCGTACAAGTTAAGAAATTTTTCTGGATTTGAGAGACATAACGAATGATATAATTTTTGTTATATCAAATCTTTACAATTAAAAGGAATTGATCACTGCCATACTATATGACGCGTTAAATCTACGATTTGTTGTAATGTTGGGGCAAAGATGTGCAGAATAAATGTGCGAGAAACTTGTCGAGTTTACTGCGAAATACAAAGGCTAACTTTATTATCGCTTCACACAATCGGCCGAAAACAGCGGGATATCACAGTGAATACTCACTCACGGCGTCGATGCTTACGTTCAATCGTATTTCATCGAATGCATAAGCACGTCCAGGGTTAATAGGACAAGATCGTGCGCCCGCTGTAAATCTCGCTTAATTTGCTCTCGCCGCGCGCGCTCGCGCGACTGTCGTTTCCATTGTACCGGGGTCTCCCGATCCATCTCTCTTACAGAAATCATGTCTTGACATCGCACACATACACACACATATATATAAAACATATACAAGAAAACATGGTAATCTCGTGACAACTGGCGCACGCTAACAAACCCCATTTTACACGTCCTGTCACGATTTCTTTCGAGCACGCGCCTAAGTAATTTCGTTTCGCTTCTTTCGCCCAATTAGCGTGACGCCGATTCATTATATGTTTTTTGCAAATCAACCTGTCTATATCGATGCACTGCGCACGAACCCTGTGTTTGAGCTCCATTTTTTTAAGCGAGGATCTTAGCGCTATCCAAAAAATGAAAAGTGTCACACACAGAACAAAGCGATTTTAATTTACAACTTATAAATTCAAGCATCCCATAATTGTGGCTAATAATTATGCGGTACTCAGTGGTTTTTTATTTAACTTTGTTTCACGTACAAAGAAAGAATGGCTGCAAATCGCGTCTGATATAAATTTAAATTCGTTTTTTATCATATGTACGTTTCTACTTATCTCTTTATATGCACATCGAGTGAACACGAATACATGTCCATAAGAGTACTGGTACCCGCATATCAGTACTCCCTGCGGAGAATCCGCAACGGGAACTAATATTTTACGACAAATACACTTCCCAGTGAGACTCTTGTCTATTTAGATCGCTAGATTTATAATGACTACTCCAAGTGAGTAATAATTTACATCTTCTTATCACGTTGTTGTTGATATATATAGTAAGGTTCGTTTTTAAATTGGATTTTTCTAGCTTTAATTTTAATTTAATGTACGTTAATTTTTGTAAATATCAAACAACATCGTTTCTGTTATGTTTAAATTAGTTCAAACAGAATTTATTATAATCTTCATTTATATAACGAAAAAAATTCATAAGTTGCACAATTGCATGTATATTCATTTTTATATTTATTAGTATTATAATTCTTCGTATAAAATATGCATTGTGATACGTTTCTTTCGTTTAACTAAATTTCTGCTAATTTTCTGCTCGTTAATTCAGATTGTGATGTGCATAGCAGAACTGTTAAAAAATATATTAGAAGACAAAATAATCATTCATATAGAAATATCTAAATAAATAATTTTCCCAGTATTTTATATCTGAACACACAGAAATATACGCATGAATAAAAAAACGTATTTTTTAAAGGATGGGTTAATGCCATCCGGCATTATTGCGAATTTATGCATGTCAGTTTGCACATTATACCGCAATATACCGTTCCGGTTTATAACGCAAATTTTACATGAAACCCTCACGTGCTTTCGATAAAATACGGCGGTGAGTAAAGACATGTCAATGATACCGTTTTATTTAATTTGGTTTCAAATTTTCAAAGAATTCTTAATCGTAAGATTGCATGATGTAAATCGTTTTGTAAAATTTATATTTCAATAAATTTACATAAATGTTGCTGTCAAAAAGAATAACTACGAATTATATAACAAAATTATATGAAATTATAGAAAACATTCATTTTAATTGGCATTTTGAGATAATTGAAAAATAAATTGAAAATCGAATTCATCAAGCATACAATAGTTTCAGATTTGTGAAGTATATCGCGTAATTATTTCGAATTGTTTCTTATCATTTGCCTTATTTATCCACAAACAATCTGCAAGTAATATTTTATACTGTGTCAAATTGATCAATACTAATATGACGCATCTTAAGAAACATAAGCTGATCTATATCGTTAGCACGTACGAGTATTGGGCGGAAAAACAAGTCTTACCAGAATTCAGTGTGTCAAGTTGAGATTGATCGAACCAGTCCGATATGCCTTTCTTCTCTTCATGGATCGAATCGAATCGGTCCAATATTAATCGACCGATTGACAACTTTCGAAGAATTGTTCGGTTTTTCGTGTTACCGAAAAAGGCATTTTAATTCGGAAAGAAAGCTTTACATCGTAAATAATGCGTTGTTAGGAACTTATATATTCATCTATAAATGAGCAAACAATATTTTGTTTGTGAAAATAATTTCTACTTATTTTGTAAATAAGGGGAATTTCAACTTGTGCTGATTTAAATTTTTATTAAATTTCTGTTAGAGGAAATGTGATAAATTCCCTATATTTTATTATAGAAATTATAAAATGTAAAAAATTAGTAGTTTTAATTTTCTCTCTTTAACGTTTCCTTTTAATGATTTTTTTTCTTGAATCATCTAATGAATCCTTAATTTTCCGGTATCTTTTCTGAAATCACTTGTATAATTTTTTATTAAAGTTGATTTTATGGAGATACACAGAAAAATGATTCCCTAAAAAGAAAGTATTTTCAAATTATAGAAATAGGAATCAAATTAAATTACATTGAAAATAGTAACTTTAAATATTTTTAAATATTAAAAACGGATTATATCTTAGTATTATTTGGCTGTATATCTAGAAAAAGTAAGAATGACAGTTGATCGGTGGAACATGCGATCCATGCGCAAAATGATCGATGAAGATATCTCCTCCATATTGAAATTGATATTGATAAAAATGGTAAAGAATGACGAATTTCTTATCATTCGTCGTAATCAATGTCATCTCACAATCAGATATATGTGCATCGCTTTGAGCACTAGAAGGCAATTTCAGACGAGAGAAAACGCGCGATCTTACATTTAATTCTTTTATAATTGGCCATGTGTCGCATATTATGCCACTTTTTAATTTATATTTTAACGTGGAATAATATTTCTTATCTTTTCTCAGTCGTCTCTCGTTTCGAAAATGTTAATTGCTTTTCATATAGTCAAAAGTTAATTAGTTTACGCAAATCCTCCCCTATGAAAAATAAATTTAACATAAGCTGATCGTATACTTATCAAGATATGACAAAATTTCAAAAATAAAGTTGATTCAAAGTAAACTTTTGTAATTAAAATTACGTTTCGAAAAAGCTTAACTTATTTATAATTATGTAATCTAACTTACATCTCTTCTTTAACCCTTGCTTCTTTTTATTTTTTAAATTTCTGATTACTTTTGATGTTTTATTTTATACATCGATTTTAAAAAATTTATAGGAAAAATCTGTTTATTTTTTTTTGTAAAAAAGTTATGAGAAAAGCATATAATTAGAATAATTTTTAACGACAGATTTTTGTTTAGATATTATGTTTAACTCTTTGCGGATTTAATTATCTAATTTCAGCGCATTCCAGAAACGTCCGCTTGCGGGGGGTATCGGATTAGGTGGTAGAGGAAATGCCGGCGTTGGCGGAAATGGCGGCAATTTAGGTGTCGATGGTGATTGCGGCGATGCGCTCAAGAGACGTAAGGTTCACAGATGCGATGTCGCCGGCTGCGACAAGGTTTACACGAAGAGTTCGCATCTCAAGGCGCACAAGAGGACCCACACTGGTAAGTTTATCTTTGAGCAAATAATTTCGATATTTTTCGAATCAATCGACATATATTCGACATATATCGCAAGAAATGTTCGTACATATAATGTGCAAAATTTAAAAATATATCTTCAAGCAAAAGAGATATTGTGTTAAATACGCACTAGAGGGAAAAAAAGAGAAAAAAAAAGTTAAATTATATGCATAGAAATTACACAAACATTGTATCATAAATCTCTCGATTCCTATGCACGGTTAGAAACTATGGAATTTATTGAAACTCTGAATCGGGAAAAGCAATCAAGATCAAATACATCGATCGATTGAAAGAAACCAACTTGTTACAATCTCGATGATCGTTATGCATGATCGTGAGTCACGCACGTGCGTCAGCAATCATTGGAATAATCGCGTCACTTTACCATCGACCCTTCTCTCGCTTCGCATATGTGGTTTCGTTGCTGACGCTATTGTTTCAATGATAGCAGAATATGTGAAATCAGCGAACGCGTAATATCTGATAGGTAAGCTGACAGAAAAGAATTTAATTATGAGGGCAAACTCTTATTGTCACATCGCGATTATACAGACAAGATAGGATCTCGTTCAGCGAAATAGCGTGATTCGAGCGAACGTGGAAATCGCTTCTTCTTCTCGTACGAGAGGAGGAAGCTTCGGTTACGTGTAGATTGGAGTCATTATCTTCGTCTTCCCACGTTAAATCGACGCGACGCTTGTAACCTCACTACCAAATATCGCCGTGAGATCCTCCGATAATAATAATAATAATGTTTAACCCGAGCGTATGACCGGTAGTTAACGACTTGTCGCCCGATCGGGTCAAGTGCTCGACGGTAAATCATTAGTCATCGGGCATTCCTTTAATTTCTACGAGACCGATTTCCGCGCTTCTCTCGAACGAGGTGTTTGAATGCGACATATAATCACTAGTTGCTCTCTCTGTGAGATTTAAGAATGGTGGATTCGATGAAAGAATTTTGAAGAAATGATTGATTTTTCTCTCTTTTGCGATTTTAGTTACGGGGAGGGTCTTTAACTTTTATAGAACGGCTAATTAATGAGAATCACATGTTTCCTCGCACGCTTTACGAATTTACATCAGACTCGAACACGCGACTCTTCTCTTCTCTCTCTCTCTCTCTCTCTTTCTCTTTTGCAGGATAACAGATAAGAGGCACACATCAGCCGTGTTATTCTCCGCCAAGATTTTTCGCGCGCGTGATCCGCGGCCCGTCGCGGTCAAGGGTCGTCGACTTTCGCACGCTAGGATTCACGACCGTAGAGCCTCGCGGAAATTCGATACCGTTCCGTAGCGTCGCCTTGGAGATGCCTTCTGTCCAGCAGGAGAGAAAACTCGCACTTTTATCCGCTTTCGTACGGGCGCTCTCGCGTATAGATCCAAGCTCCGGCCATTTATTACCGCGTCACGAGAACTTGGAAGAGATCGCGCCGTTCCATTCCGTGTGCATACACGACGCGGCGCGGTGGTTGCTTCAGGAATTTCCGGTGGATAGGTACCTTCGTGAAGGCATCGCCGCCGCCGTCTGGAGAAGGCAGCGGCAGCGGGGAGAGGGCGTGGTCGTGAGAACCAGGATCTTTTGTCTGGTCCATGGTTCAACCGAGACGCAGCACGATCGCGGTGCTCAACCCAGAAATAGCTCGATATGGAGAAACCCTGAAGCCTTTTTCCATAATATCATTATCGGAGTTTATATGTCATAATTTATATCTGAAAAGTTTTCTTTTTTAATGAGATAAATAAAATTGTTATCTTTTTATTAATAACATACGCGACAACACATCAATTTTGTAATGTTATATTTTAAATTAATTAGAATTTATCTCTGCATTATTAAACATTTTTAATAACTCGATATAATTATGATACTTTTAAAATTCTATTATTTTTCATTTTTTAAATTTATTTTGACAAATCAATCACATTTAGCGCTGAGTATACATATTGGAATGTTGATTTTAATTATTTGCATATACGAAAGATATGCGTGTCATCTTGATTAGCATTTTCTCCGATCACTCCGAGATCTCAAAGAGAGAAACTAGCTTGCTCGAAGTTTGCAAAGATCGGAACATGCTTCGCGCATTATGCCATTATGATGGACGTTTTACGAAATTCCCAGTTTGCAATGATCGGCAAACGAAAGACCATTACTTGACGTACAACTCGCGATTGTGTACTTGGCTTCGACTAATTGTTTCAACGATCGGTATAACGCCGGTTTCTAGTGGCAAACCGCCGTCTATCCGTCATTCTAACACTATACGGCCATCGAGATACCCTTACTGAGGTGGATACCGTCTGAATGTGGGAAATACCAATTCATTGATTACCGTCATTTCTACCATTCTGTGCTGTAACTCGCTCGCGCGATCATGACTGTCGTTGCGAAGCCGATGGGAGCGATCGTAAAATTGTGGAGAAATAACAGGCTTGTTAGTTCTCAACAATTTATAGTTTCAATATCATATTCCATTAGTTTTAAAATATTTTATAAATTATTTCTCATTACAATAATTTTTATTTTTATTTTCTATCAAAATATAATATTTAATTTTGATAATTATTCGCTATAAGATTCATAAATATTACTATCTGCCATAAAATATGCACTGCTCTGTCCATTGCATGTATATTTGCGTCATAGACTATTATGTTTACTTCATTAAAAAATCAGGCACGCGATATTTGCAAGTTCAGTTAAAAGTCGTAAGTTTAAATTATGACGTTTAGTACTTTTCAATAAAGCTGCGGAATAACGGGTCGAAAGATGAAATGCAATCAACAATATTAATTGTTTATGCATGTTGGACGTTGTTCATATTACGCGCCTCATTGACGATGTAACGGAACACAATAACAGACTAATATTACTTTTAATATCGACGAATAACAGTGTACCTGACACACGTTGTTGCGTGTAACGAGAGTTGCATTACAGGTAGAGAATCATAGCTCATTATGAGTGCACGGTAAATCGCCCTTGCACGATTATATGGTGAGAGATGTTTCCTACGCCCATTAACGTATACATAAAATTTCTTATCTACCTGTGAGAAATCGCATAGCAACATGTATATCTACGGAATATCTCTAATTATCGCATTTCCCTCAACTGAGTATGATTCTACATATAAGTTAAGGAATGCTAACCGTTTCTTTTAAAAGCATCATTATTTTCAACTTCAGAGTCAGAATTTTGATTGAATGAGTCGCGCGAGAGAATCCTTAAGAAGATAATTATAAATCAGAGCGATATAAATTTAAATATATTTACAATTGATTATAGTTCATGCGAGTTGAGCAACACACTTATATTCCATAGAAACATAATAATGTATTCAGTTATTTTTTTCAAATCTTAATCTCTCTCTAAACAAATAATAAATTATAATAAAATCATTTATTCGTTTTCTTTTTACAGCATTAATCAATCATTTATCGAAATGCTATATATATATATATATATATATATATATATATATATATTTCGACATATATAATTATTACTGTTTTAATTTTTTAAATTTTGTTCCATTTATAAACTATCTATGTCTATAATTATTGTTATATTAAAGGCGAATTATTCGCAGTACTCTGTAGCAAGTAATTTGATGGTTCAAAGAAGATAAGGAACGGAAGCTGAGAATCACTGTGCATAACTATCAGAATATAAGCTCGGTGTCAGCCGATTGGCGTGACCCTTGATAGACAGGAGGTTTGCTGAGAGATCTCGTGTATTAATTAAGGCGAATTAGCCTTGGCGTAAGCTGGACAACGTCCGCCGATCGGTTCCGTGTATCGAAGGATACGCCGATGATCACAAGCAGTTCGCTCTGTAGATTTCTCTACGAGTGGTAGTGCTTCAGGTACCCTGTTATTAACAATGCACTTATGCACTAATGCCGAAGGCTGCGATTACCTTCTCGGCTGGGTTAACGATTTCCTGACGAGCACGCTTCTCCGCATTGTTCTTCGTTGGTCGTTGCAAATCATCGTTTCTGTCTTTTCTACAAATAACTTCCCACAATCTTAGCTCACTTTTGCGTTCGATAGCACTCGTAATAATACTTTGGTTCCGCTTATTCGTTTGCAGTAAGTAAACTTAGAAGAGTTGATTTAGTAATTGAATTGAGTTTGGAACATATGCAAAATAAAAGTCTATAAGCAAACTTCAAATAAGAAATTGAATATAAAATAAATGTCATAAATTATGAATTTTTAGATACACGTACTAAATTTTTAAATCTTCCCTTTTTTTATTTTTTTAATAACTTTTAATTATTATTTATTGCATTAAAGAAGTAATCTCATATCATTGACGAAAGAAACAAATTCAATTGTGTGCCTAAAAATTAGATTATACGAAGTATATTATTTCAAGATGCATCAAAAACATTGAATTTTATTACGGTCTAAGATTGACATCATGTGAACGCTGCATATGAACGACATAGGCTTTATGTTTTTTTTTTTTCGAACTAGTCGAGAGAGCTGTTAGTTCGCTCCTCATTACTGGCACGCATCGTGTCGCTTAACTATGCGTCGGAGCAACTTTCTCACGTGCTATGATGTGATAATTATATGCTTCGCGCAGCAAATGTGTCGAAATGTACAGCTTCGTTAACTGATAGTCAAACGTTAGAATTGCGAAATGTACCGTGCACAAGCTGCCAATTTTACAGATTTAGCGATAATATCCACGGCTAATGTAGCCAACAATGTACATAATATGACATAGATAGTTCCATCTTTTTTATGAAGAAGATTAATGCAATTTGTGTATGAAAATAAATCCATGTTATGTGTGAAAATAAATCCATGTTATGTGTGTGTGTATACATTTATACGTACGTACACATTTACTTTATCATTTCCTCCGACTTGTAACTTGTAATTAATACATCATAGGCAACATCTTATTTGTATATCATGTCGCAATACGATACAACACTGTCTTCGAAGTTTCGCTCTGCGTGACTCTAGTAGACTTGTGTTCCAAGATAAATAGTCCCATCTATCTCGCTATCTTGAAATGTAACAAAGGACGAGACACGCTATTACGCGATAATTAAACAATGTCTCCGCATGCAATGATAAATGAATCACGTGCATTTGCATCGCAAAAAAATGGTATATTGCAGCGAGTTTAATAGTCGTGTGGCTTCATTAGAAAGTTATAAAATATGCACAAATGTAAGACGAAGAAATAATACTATCTATACCAGAATAAGAATTTGACACGAACGGAATTCAGTCGCGATTGATAAGTAATAAAATATAAGCAATTTTTATGCGAATCTCTTTATAATTTCAGTTATGTATTTTGGCTAGTTTTTTTTTAGTAAAATCTTAAATTGGAAAAAAATTAAATTGAGAGGACAAAGCTTCTGCAATTTAATTCTGCCTCATTAATTTTCAGAAATAAGGCAAAAAAAATGCTCAGAAAATAAAATTAATTAAGTAATCAGTAACAATTTGAATCTTTCGAAGGTATTTATTTCTTCAATCGTACATTTAACTCATTACACTTCGCTCTTTATACGTGGATGCACACGCGCTGTCGCAAATGAGAACGACGTCGCAAGTAAATGGCCAATCTCGCTCGAGTTATGATTAAGTAACTTGACGGGAAAGAAAGTAAAACACAAACGGAGGGAGGGATTAACGCGACGTTAATCTATGGAGCAATAAAACGCGAAAAAACGCGATCGAAATACATTAATAACGGAGGTAAAACTAATGCGACGCTCGCCCATCGGTCGATATTACGTGCACCTCGTACGGGTTGTAAATGGACTAATTACTCACGATTACGCAACGCGTATACGCGCGCGCGCGATTTCCTTCGTAACGTCATTAGTCGTTCGCATATCCCCAGCGCGTTGCGCAATAATATTCCGCCCGATGGACGTCGGGACGTTAAAACGGCCGATTTAGATCTACGGCGCGGAGAGCGTGCCTTCGATCATCCGCGCCCCGCCGTTTTGCTCGGCACCGCTAAAGCTCGATCCTTTCCAGCCGCGCGGCAACCTGCCGTTCCCTTTGCGTCGCGTCTTTAATTACGACCGGCTTTCAAGAACGTAGAGTATACCTCGTTAATTACCGTTCGGTAATTAGCCTCGCGGTACTGTCAAAAAGGTGGCGTTAATATTCCGTAGTGACTGCCTTTCTTTTTCTCTCTCTCTCTCTCTTTCTTTCGCGATACTAGTTGTTACGGACAATGTAACGCTAACTATAACGATGCTAATCCATTTTCCGAGATTGTGAGTTGCGCGTTATTCCATTATTTTAGACAGAATGGGATAAATTGCGAGATGAAAGGGGAAGATGGAATGTTTGTGCAGAAGGAAATACCTCCACTTCCACGCGAAATCGCCGCGAGGATGTATCGAAAGCGTGATTTCTCATTAAAACGATCTCACGGTTATATCTCCCTCTTTGCGTGCGCATCGCTCAATAATTAAAACGTCCGATTTATAAAGATTAATCGTTCCTAATGCGTAATAATAAATGTGTGTGTTAACTCTGCCTCGTCTTGCGTTGGAGCAACTTGGCTCACGTCCCGCGACGCGATAATTGTTCCGCTTGTGCCTTAACACCGGCCATTTACAAGGGCAAATACCAAATTAAGGGTTAAGCGCCGCTTCCCGCTCCCCCGTCTTGATCCTCGCGATAATAACACTTCTTATCTTGACCCGCTGACTTACGATCCGCAATTAACTGAGGAGAAGCGCCGCTCTCGAAAGAATTCGCGGATGGACGCAAATATGTATGTCGATTAAACGGTCGCGATGTTCCATCTCCAGATCAGATTTAAAGAGACGACGCGTCATCGTCTTCGTCGCTCGATCCAAGATTATTATTCGATCTAGATTTAATGGGATCGCGAAATCTACCACCTGATCATAACGGATTGATTCGCCGTCCGTTTTCGTCTCGACAGTTGCACGAAGAGATTGAACTTGATGGCGATTATTTGCCGAACCGTTTCCACAATCATCTGGATGAAAACGATTCCTCACTTCTGTTTCGACTTTTTGTGGAGGATTGATAGTTTCGTAGCGTGACGTGGCGTACAATGAGATTATGAGATCGAAATTATTTTAATGATAAATAAATTGATACAATTGTATATCGAGAAATTTAAATTGATTTTTTATTTAGATTATCAGATTTTGTGGAATTCAAAGTTAATGTTTAACTGAATATTTTACTTTTGATTCAAACGTTGAAGCTATTTTTCCACACATTTTATATCATATTTTTAAATCGCATAACGCAATCTAGTTATTCTATAACTATTATTTCCGAAAGAAATAAACATGTATAAAGATATGCAGATATATTAATATTACATACTGGTGTACTTGTGTAAATTATTATTTATACATTTACTTTTTATAATATATAATAATTAGTCTTGTTCAACATCTGTTTGCCAAAAGTCATCGGGTGGTGGAATCGTCACTGATGGATCACAAAATCTTCTAGTGCATGCCCCAATGCCATTGTAACCACAGAAGCACTTGTTACATCCATCAAAATAATATTTACCTTGTACGCATTTTCGTTCCTCCTCTATGTAAATAATGAGAACTTTTAAGTATAAAATATAAAGTTGATTAATTAATGGATAATACACGGAGAAAATGTAGTAAAAAGTATAATATATATTAAATATAATATATTTTAATATATATAATCGTGAAATATATTAATATAAAAGAGAAATCATGATATTTTTATTCAATAATATTATATATACGTATTATATTTTATAAAGAACTATTGTAATTATTCAATTATTTTGATACACAAACAAATGTATAATAAGCAATAAAACAAATAATTTAAAATATTTTAATGTCGTTATATTCCAGATTTACAATCAATGTTGTCAAAGAAAATATATTTTTTGTAATTTGTACTGTAAATTTTTTTTCCGTGCAAAAACATATTAAACACTTACGTGCAGCAGAAAGTTGCAAAGCCAATAAGCTAATTATTACTACAAATGTCACAAATACTTTAGACACCATGATATCTCAACAATTCAGAGGTCTATGATATTCAATACTCAATAATATTCAATTTTCGACTGATTTTTAAAAGAGATACGTTTGAAGAATTCTTTATATAGAACTTCTTATATATACTTGCGTTATCTTGCGACCTTGATATTGTATTTTTTTCTCTTTTTATTTCTCTTTTTCATGTATTAAGTCGATTATGCATGAACGATAAAGGCCTGCGTCATTCACGCGAATTCACGTTAATTCGTATCAATTTGCGGGCATTTAAGCAGAATATAATGTTGACGAAGCAATACGCACAACTGTATGTACAATAATATTATTGCGTTATTCAAATTATTATGTAACTATTATGTACACTATGTATGTATTATTTCACACATATGTATAAACACATTTCGAAATATATACTTAAACACTTACATCGAATTGACGCAATAAGAAATTTAATTTTTGTAATGTTTGAAAAAACTGTCCAGATTTGTCACATATTGCATGTTGAAACAAAAATTAAATTTTCGAATTTAACAAGAAACTTTAATTACAATGTATTTTCTTGAAATTGTCAATATTAAGATTAATTTAAACATATATTTAATATGTATTTAATGTATGTAATATGTATTTAACGAACTTATTTTAATTTGATAAATGAGTATACTCAACAATCATCGCTAAAAAATTTAACTGTGCACATTAGGATATAAATTATTATTTTTAGTCATCATATGACTCATTGATTAATACAATTGATGTTGATTGCCTATTTTTATCTCTCTCTCCTTCTTTCTCTTTTTAGATATTCCATAAATTTCACATAAATTACGTATAACAGACAACTATGTTTAACAATATCCACATTACATCAAATTACAAAAAAATTAATTTTTGCAAAACCTACATTTTTAACGCATTGAAATTTTATCGCGATAAAGTTTCTATGTAGAATATTGTATTTTCTATGAAATTATTAAAATATAGTTATTAGAATATTTTAGTAATTGTCAATAATAAATTTCTAAATATATTAATTAAAATAGCATTCTATGTTTTTTTAATCTCTTCTTTTATAATTTTTTTCTAATTAAATCCAAAAAAAAATTTGAAAATTTTTGAACAATTATTTAAACACACGAGATTTTTATATTAAATTCTTCAAATGATTTAAAAGTGCATTAAAATCAAAACAATAAGCATCAAATTTTAAGTGCTTTTAATACTTGAAGCCCTGCTTTTATATGCAAGTTTATCCTAGCATAAAAAAATAAAAATTTCAATACTAAAGTATTACAGCCAGTTATACTTTTATCATTAAGATATGTTTTCATTATCTGTTGCAGGCGAGAAGCCATATCAGTGTACGTGGGAAGGTTGCACGTGGAAATTCGCACGATCGGACGAGCTGACGCGGCACTATCGCAAGCACACGGGCCAAAAGCCGTTCAAGTGCCATCTCTGTCAGCGATCGTTCTCGCGAAGCGACCATTTGTCGCTTCACATGAAGAGGCACTGATGAAAAGGACCGTCCACAGAGTCGTGCGACGCGAGAGAAAGCGCACGTTGATCGACGAGAAGCGAAGGTGAGAAACGGTCCTTGGCAATAGGCCAGTGATCTCGAGTGATCCTGGACGCGAGCGAGAGACGGACGATGATATTTCTTACATTTGGGACCTGAAGAGCCGCGTCGCGAGCCGGCCCGTCCCGAATTTCTCACGAAGACGGACCGGTCGATCGGACGGGCAGCAACTAGGAAAAGAGAAAATAGATTGACGAAGCAAACAAATCGTTCATTAGGTTTAACGCTTAATCGCGAATTGAATAATCGCGATGCCGATCAACTTTGATCAGTTGGTTCTCTTGATGCTGTCTTTTGCGAATCTTTCGATGGATCTTTCCGATTGCAGCTACAATAAATCGAGCCGATGTCTGAATTACGAGCGTTGAACGCAAGAGTAAGGTAATTGTTTTACAATTGTCGAGCTTTTATAAAAAGGCGCGTCACTGATTTTTTGGATGCTTCAAGATTTTAAGGAAAGAAAGATCCGCTTGCGCGATTGAGATCGCATCGAGGTCATAGATTCGGCACGACAAGACGTATCGTTATTACATATAAGCGTGTATCTGTTCTCTTCTGTGTTTCTAGCTAATTTTTATTTGTTCTATTTTTCAGTTTGTTATATATATATATATATATATATATACGTTGTATATATATAATATATGTTTAAATAAGGCCAGCTCAACTAGTCTAGAGCACCATTTTATCGTATACATTACGACGAATAGAAGCCAGTATAAAAATTAATTAATTAATTAAGATAATAAATGGTTAGAATAAACTAAAATGATTATATCGAACTCCGGTGACGGGCTTGGACTTAGCATGCTCAGTTAAATAAACTACAATCGTGATCGTAGATATTACGTAAAAGCATTAATAGAGCAATTTTTCGATTATGCACAAAAGAATTTCGCGTTTAGGGACGGACAATCATTAACTTTCATTATATAGTAATGAAGTGAGATATAGAACGTCGCATCCCAAAAGCCAGTATTTGAATGCGTAACAAGCAATATCATTATATATAATAGCATTATATATTACAGTATAATGCTTTTTTTAAATTCATTTTAGTCGCCAAAAAAAACA